CCCTCCCCAAAAAACACCTCACCACCCGCTGCCCTGTGGGGAATATCAGGGAAAGGTAACCCCCACATTTCTAAAAGTTGCCAAGGTTGAGAAACACTGGTCTAAACTCTAGGTTCCTAGAATGTTTTCAAATAAAAAAAACTGAACTTGCCAAGAAACCTTTGCTTTCACCCTGGACATCCTGATGTTTAATCCTGAATCAGGTTGTGGTTATTCAAAGCCGAGAGAGAGTCACTGTGTGACAGCTGGTTATGACAAACTCAGAAGCAAACAGACTGATACTAGATTAGTCTGTTACTGTAACAACCTGAAAACTACCCCTCCTGCCAAAAAGACAGGGTGCTGTCCCAATACCCCCCAGAGGTGGGAGGAAAAAAGGGCCCAAGTATGTAACCCTTGATTTCACTATAAATAGGGTTTATATCTGGTAGTTAGCAGTGGCATTCTTTCATAATGGCTTAATGGGTTTTCTTACATTAAACCTACCTATCAAAGATCCTCATCCTGCCTGCCTCCGCTTCCAGTCCTGTCCTTTGTCAAGAGAAGCCCAACACTCTGCACAAGTTCAGTGACGTTCTTTGATCTTGTTTTATAGCTTTAGAGTGGTGATTTCCAGGGGGAAAAAAAAAGAGGAACTGCATCCCTCGAAACAGATGGCACAAGAAACAAAGATGTGCCTAAAATTTGCATGTCCTTATTTTGAGAAACATATACACATGCAGAAATAATTCTGTAATTTAAATAGGACAGTAATTCGTCCCAGCACCAGGAGAGAAATTGTGACCTCATGAATGAAGGTCCTGCTCAGCCTGTTGCCCATTCTAGCTGTGGATGGGCAAATTTAAGCCTCTGGATTTCTTCTTGTGTATTCCTTGTCTTTAAACCAGGGATGAATTAGATATCTCCTTCAAACAGAGGTGGTTTTCAGATCCTTCAAATTGAGGACTACCTTCTGTAAAATTGAAATTGTCCATCCTTCTTCATGAAGAGCAGTCAATGGGAATGAAAATATAGTCAGGGAGGCTGAATTCTTAAATCCTAATTCAGATGAACCTGTAAAAACAAGAAATCCCTGCATTAGCTATCCTTCAATTACAGGCAAGCCTCTCCTGGCACTCTATCATTAGGAGGGTGACCGGAAGTGCCTTCTTAAAAGTAGACTATACTTTGCTGCTCCAGTTTGACTCTACAGTGTCAGCCCTTAAGAATCTGGTCTGCCTTCAAAGCAGCAGAGTTGGTATGTAGATTGCTTTCATGCAATTTGCAAATTGCTGGTGTCCTTGAGTTTTAGAACACCACCTTGATTTAAGAGTTTGAAGTGTTGCCTTGCTGGTTGAAAACTTACACAAGTGACTTGAAGCTGCAACAGGTTAGTCCAGCTTTTGGCAAGTTGGAGATTAATATCAAGTTTGGATTTGTTGAATTGTCAATTAATTCACTTAATTCTGGGAAAGGTAAGAGTTTTTTAAATGTTTGGCCTCAGGGTCCTCAGAACTAGACTAGGAGGTGACACTGTGACATCTTTAGAAGAAGTGGTGATGGAGTTTTTTAATGCCATTTCTGCATTTTTGGGGTAAAAAAATGATTTTAATGTTTTATAATTGATTAAGCCTAGAGACTTGATATACTAAATGTGTTCATTCCAAGGAAATTCCATTGCCTCTATTCAAAAGTCTGCAGACAAATTTTAGGAGTATGATTTTCCAGTACCTTGAAACTGTATGTACATTGCCTTCCCCTGAATTAAATTAATGAAATTCATTACAATGAATTAAAGCCACTGTTTGGGTTCACACAGTATGATAAACTGTGAATTGCTTAATTATGGTTTATTGAATAGATCAGATCTGACATGGTTCACCCAATATGCTAGGGCATAAACCATAGTTTATAAATTAAAAAAAACTGGTTTTGCAGAACATGCTAAGCCAAAACCAATCAAAGGGTATGCAAAGCATGAAGTTTTGGTGGAAAAGCATGGACTTACATCCTTGGCATTCATTTCCCCAGCTCTACAAAACTTCGCACATTAGCAAGAGGCTTATCTCCTGCATTCTTGAGATTTGGTGGCACCAAAGGAGACTTCTTGATTTTTGATCCTCAACAGAAGCCAACACCCGAGGAGAAGGTTTTTCAGGATTTCCTTAGAAAACAAGGTAGGATGCTATTCAGCTTATTAGGGGCAGCATATTCTCTAGTGTTGCTTCCTGTTCTCCAAATCCACACCATCCATGCAGAACAAAAGCACATACTGGCAACCCACCATCATCCATGGGCCATGTGAAATTCTAGCCTGTGCTCTCAATGGCCCACAAAGCTTCAGAAGCATGGCTATTTCAAAACAATTTTGATCAAGTTTACTGAAAGGAGGAGGAGGAGGATTCAAAGGGCTCTAAGGGTAACACAACAACCGATGGCAAAATCTCATTTGTCACTGCCCCGTGGCCTCTCCTGCTCTTCAGGATAGGGCAAAAGGGCTTCTAACTTGATAGCCGGTCAGCTTTGTCCCAGGACCTTTCTCTTCTGAATTTGTACACTGGGGATGCTGTATGTTAGCAATCATTTTTGGTCTGCTGCAGTGAGCTGTAATGGTTGGGTAGAGCCTGGTGATCAGTTTTTACAGTTTGTTCATTTAAAAATAGTTGTGTTTGAACCTCTCTGTGTCGCTTTTGTTCTTCCTACTACAACACAGCATTTTTGTGACAAGGATGGGATTTACTGAGAGTTGAAGGCCATCCGGAAGGTGGTTTGGTAATCAGGTGCCGGGAAGCAGTCAGAAACAGTTGGACTTGACAAAGATCGTCTGCCAAAGCAACTAATTTTGTCTCAGTCCCATGCCCAGACCTGAATGGAACTACTCCATCTTCTAAAAAGTTGGAGACTGGATAATAGTTATCCTGTATAGCTGGGTCCAGGGAAGGGTCTTCAAATGGAGTCTCATCAGTGTCCCCTTAAAGGCAGCTTAGACAATTCCCTCCCACCAAAGAGGCATTAACTGTTTCCCTGACCCAGGTCTCATGTTCTCCCTGGCCACCTCAAAGATCCAGGAAAGGCATGGGTCCAAGACACAGATAATGGAGCTCCCCACTGCAAACCCCCCTCTCCATTTCATTAGAGTCCACAGGCAAGAATGAATCCCAAATAAGAGTAGAGGGTGTTATCCTGGTTATCCCTTCAGATTTTGGCCATGAGGAGTCAAAATTATGGTGAATTTGATCAATTATCAGCAAAGGGTAGTGCAAAAGCATCATGGGGATGGGGTAACAGGTATCCCTGCTTGTCCCTCCCTGTAGAGGGTAAGTAATATAATCTGACAGAAATATGCAAGAACCGGGCTGAAACATTTTTTTAAGTCCAGAACAGCGAGATAATATTTGGAAGCAGCTCAGGCAGACATCACCCTGATTCACTATAAGAAGGGGAGGAGGTTCAGCACCATTGGGCTTTCAAGATTCTGTTATTGTAGCCGATCTCCATCAAAGTAGTTCTAGTCTCCTTGTGAAGTAAATTTTCTGGTCTGGTCTACCTAGTGGGGCTGACACTACCTAACAGGGAATGCATCACCTTAAACTGAGCTGACATAGTAAGGGAGGAAATGAAGTGTGTATGTGCAAGTGGAGCTATGTGCACTGGGGAGGTTGTAAAGTAGGGAAAGTGTACAATTCAGAAGGACAGACAGACACACACAAATGTAGAATGCAAGGTGGGAGAAAGAAAAGGCTCTTGTTCAAAAACAATTTGCAGAGGTAATTCTTTTCTAACTATTCAAAGAGGAATGCCAGTAGTCCTATTATGAAAACTTAAAATATTGATTTAATCCTGTTTGAGATCCTGGAAGTTGCAACTACTCCTGCATTTCCACAATCGGCTTCTCAGTTCATTCCAAGCCTATCTAAGCACATAGTACACGAGATAATAGATACAGTATAATTCTGAATGCTGCTGGTCATTTCAAAATGTCCCAGGTAAGTTTCCCATTATCAACAGTATCTTGATACGGCCTGTGAAATAAATATTCCCTATCACCCTTCTATTGTGACTTTTCCCACCTCTTCTTCCTATTCCTGGAGTGGTATCTATATCTGTGGAGTTATAAAGCTAATCCTACTCTTGCTTTTGAGACCCCACTCTCCGACAGTGGAAGTTGATCTGTGGAGAACCTCAGAGGGAGCTTTGTTCTTTACTCTAGGAGTAAAACTAGTGAGAAAGAGCCATTTTTAGAGCCATGGTATATCCCTGGAGCTCCCTAAGAATTCCTTATTATTTGGGTGGTATCTTAAGTACTTTGAGCTGTTGTGGGGCTTTGCTCATTTTCTTTTCATTTCGTCTAAAAAATTATCACCTAAAACAAAAGGGGAGAACAATAAATCCCTGTGTTTACCTTTATGCGTTACTGCTAATTATTGCCAGTGGTTTACATTGGTTTATTTTTATTGTGTGCAGTCTTTAAAACTGGGCACCATTCTTTTAAGTTTCCTATTGGAATGGAAAAATTGGGTATTCATTTGGACAACTTCAAATTAAGGTTTATGTATGTGCTCAACCAGGTGGCAGCACTTAACTGGACTTGGCTGATCTTAAAAAGCAAGCAGAGTTGGACTTGAATTGTCTTTGAAGGGGAGAACACCCCAAAATTGAAGAACTTTGGATTAGACTGAGAATTCAAAAAACATTTTGGAAGTAGGCAATAGCAAACTACTTCTATAAGGCTGCCAAGAAAACCACATGTACATGTGTCTGAAGTCACCAGGACCCAACTGTGATTTTTTAAAACTCAGTAGATCAAAGAAAAAGGTATGCACTTTGAACCTGTACAGATATTTAATTCAGTGTTAGAAAATCTATCTCAACACCATTGCTGTGCTCAGCACTAAAAAGTTCACATACCAAGTGGGGTCTTCCAAATCTCTCTCCCGGAATATGATGCTGTGTTCTGGCACAGCATTAACCAGCTAAGGTGGACTGCTTTTGGTGGATGAGGACCATGCTTAACATTTTGGAGGAAAGGTTGTGGGCTATGGCAGAGGATGGATTAGGCCACATCAGGGAATCCATTCCCCCACATTTGCAGGGAGAGATTTGTGGGCCTTGTTTTATTAGGTCTTCCAGCTCCCACACAATGAAGAGGCATATATCTGTTTTCCAGTAGCAATGAACAGAGGAGGGCTTGAGAGACTGCCAAAAGCAGGGGTCAGGAGCCAGAGTTTGCTACTCTAGAGCACTGTATGATGGTGGAGATGTGAGGATTCCATTAGATGTTGATGGTTGCTTATGGCAATAAATCAAGTAAGATGAAAAGTTAGAAAAAGTGAGTCTTCTGCCATTTTCTTGACATGCTTCCACCCTTTTGTGAACTTTCTTAAAATTCTGATAAAATTTCTTCCCAATCACTTTGCCTAATAGAAGAGATGGCCCTACTTTCAAATCTTTACCACTTTCTTCTCACCAATCCACTAGTACTTGAAGAAGGAACCTTTGGTGTTCCAAGTATGATGGGACTAATACCCCCATCAGCCAACTTTGAGGAATGCTGGGAGCGGTAACTCACTACTTCTGGAAAACTACAGGTGCCCATTTCTGCTTAAATGAGCAGTCATTTGCACAACTGATGAACTTCTCTACATGACCTTTAAACCGGCATCATTCCCGATTTAACCCTGAAATGTTGAGATCCTCTTGTCTCTCTGTCTCATACCCTAGCAACTGTGGACATCTGTGGATTCAGGTCAGCCCCTTTGGACTTCATAGAGCAACTGCAGTCTCAGTGGCTTTTCCAGCAGAAGCTCATCTTCAAGGAGCAGGAAAAGAATAAGTATAAAAACATCACGTTTACACGTAAGACCCATGTGATCATGAATACTCCTATTGAGAAAACATATTAGTAGATATTTAGAATCTCTGCTCATTACTACATAGTGGGATTAGGCAAATGGAAGGAACCAAAGACCACACTTAGTAGATATTTAGAATCTCTGCTCATTACTACATAGTGGGATTAGGCAAATGGAAGGAACCAAAGACCACACTTAGTAGATATTTAGAATCTCTGCTCATTACTACATAGTGGGATTAGGCAAATGGAAGGAACCAAAGACCACACTGGAGATCCAACAGAGCCCAAGTCCTAAGACCCTCTTAATATACTCACCCAGTTCCTGAAGCTG